CGAGTAGTGTTCCAGAACGGAGAGGCCTGGAGTTTCAGGTACATATCGCTTTTGAAATTTGCATCACAGGTAGGCAGGGTGGTTAAGAAGGCATTTAGCATGCTTGCCTTCATTGCTCAGACCACTGAGAGCAGGAGTTGGGACGTTATATTGAGGTTACACAGGACATCAGTGAAACCTCTTCTCAACTATTGTACGCAGTTCTGGTCACCTTACTATAGGAAGAATATTGTTAAATGGTGAAAGAACAGATTTGCCAGAATGTTGCCAGGAATGGAGGGTTTGAGTTATAAGAACAGGCTGGGGAGGCTGGGGCCTTTTTCACTGGAGTGTAGGAGGTTGAGGGATGACCTTAGAGAGGTTTGTAAAGTCATTAGGGACAATAGATAAGGTGAATAACAAGAATCTTTTCCCTAGGGTGGGGAAATTCAAATCTATTTTTAAGATGAGAGGAACAAGTTTTAAAAAGGACATAAGGGGCAACTTTTTTGTTTTACACAGAGTGGATTGTGTGTGGAATGAACTGCCAGAGGAAGTAGTGAATGCAGGTACAGTTACAACATTTAAATGACATTTCGATAAGTACATTAATAAGAAAGGTTTGGAGGGAGATGGTCCAAGGGAAATGGGACTAGTTTTATTTGGGAACATGGTCAGTGTGGACTAGTTGGATCAAAGGGTCTGTTTCCGTGCTGTATGACTTTATGACTCTATTCACACATTGTAACAAGGCTCATGAGCAGGCTGAGTTATGTATTGTCTTCCGCAATTTTGTGTAATTTTTGTTTACCCAAACAAAATAGGAAAGATAACTTTAACAGTTTATGAGAGAAACACAAGTACTTCAGGAATAAATTCATTAAAAATATTGCACGATTAACAATTTTAAAATTGGACTCGTTTTAAAAGACAAGGCACTTGATCTGGTTAATGTTATGAAACATTTTGCTTTGCATATGGTGGTGGTGAGGCAGCTGGTGCAGCAAAGGATGCTATCAGTTGAATTCGTAATGGATCCTTTCAGAAATTCTTGCCTTTCTCTAGTAAACTAGTAACCTCTGAGCAGCAGCAGTAGCAAATCATTTCTCATTCTCGTAGAACTTGCTCATGTGGATTGCAGTGCCTGAGAATATCACCTTAACAAGGAGTGATTGTTTCCAGTATCTAATGTATTTTGATTCTTTTTGTTGCCACTCCCTTAATTTGTGCAATTTACTTTTCTTTGTTGAGTTTAGTCTTCATCCAGCCATCATTCCTTGGCTCTGGGATCTGTTCTTGCGTAACTAATTGCATCAGAATAGTTCAGATCGCCATTATATCTTATTTTTCATTCCTCCCTGTAAGTGATGTAAAACTCCTTGATTTAGAATCCAAATTTGCAGTGTAGTGAATTAGGAAGATGTCAATTAACAGATCGTGAAGTATTGCTTTTGTATTTCGTCATTCTTTTAATAATGGATAAAATGTAAAAAAAAAACTCCATTGTCATTTTCTCTTCAGTCCAGCAGATTTCTGGAGATTACTCGGGTGAAAGTCAATGGGTCATGATATTTCACTTTAATAGAAGTTATCTGTTGAAGCTTTATTTGGTCATGATTCAATCTAAGCAGATTTATGGGATAATGCATTGCACTAGCATCCGATATTCAGGCATGCTTATAAATCATGGCATGGGATATTAAACTGCTGTTTATCCTTCGAAGCAAAGATGATGATCATCTAGGATGTCTGGTAAGGTTCTGTTGAATATGTACATAGGTGTGGCCAAGGCCTGGAAGGTGTTGTTGCAAATTAGACAGGATACTGTAGATGATTTAGTTTTGGATGAGTTGCTGGCTTGGGATTTCCTCCCTTGTGTTTTTACTTTGCCTCCGATATAATCTTGCTTTTGATGGAGCTCCCATTGTTTATTATTTGGATGTAAAGATGGAACGAACTTCTCCCAGGACTCAAAGTCGACATCAACATTTCTAAGCAAAACCTTTACAGTGCCCTTGAAGAACTTTCATTGACTGCCAAAAAAGTACAACACTTCAGGTTTCTGCACATTGACTGCAATGCTGAAGGTCTCATACATTAATGTCCCTGCCACATTCCATGTCGACAAAGAATCCAAATTTGCAGTGTATTGGCACCTAGTGCACAGTTATCAGCAAACAGGAAACTGGTTAGTAAGTATGTGGTTGACACCAAAATAATGGACAGTGAAGAAGGTTATCCAAGAGTACAAACAGATCTTGATTAGATAGGCCTATGGGCTGAGAAGTGGCAGATGGAGTTTAATTTAGTATTGCATTTTGGTAAGGCAAACCAGAACAGACGTACAAAGTTAGTGGTAGGGCCCTGGGGGATTGTTGTTGAACAGAAGGACCTAGGGGTGCAGGGTCATAGTTCCGCGACAGCAGCATCACATGTTGTCAAGGTGGTGAAGGCAGTGTTTGGCATGCTTGCCGTCATTGGTCAGCGAACTGAGTATAGGCGTTGGGACGTCATGTTGTGGCAGTACAGGACTTTTGTTAGCCCACGTCTGGAAGTGCGTGCGTGTGTGCGTGCGCACAGACATGGTGAATAGCCAAGGTCTTTTTCCAAGGTTAGAATCCAAAACTAGAGAGCATAGGTTTAAGGTGACAGGGGAAAAGATTTAAAAGGGACCTGAGGGGCAACTTTTTCACGCAGAGGGTAGTGCATGTATGGAATGAGCTGCCAGAGGCAGTGGTGACGGCGAATACAATTAAAACACTTAAAATGCATTTGGACCGATACATGAATAGGATAGGTTTATTTCATAGAATCTCTACAGCGTGAAAGCAGGCCATTTGGCCCATCGAGCCCACCCTACAGCTCCGAAGAGCATCCCACCCAGACCCACTATCTCCATAACCCTGCACTGCCATGGCTAACCCCCCAAGCCTGCACATACCTGGACACTATGGACATTTAACACAGCCAATTCACCTAACCTGCATATCTTTGGACTGTGGGAGGAAACTGGTGCAGCCGGAGGAAACCCACACAAACACTGGGAGAACGTGCAAACTCCACACAATCGCTCGAGGCTGGAATCAAACCCAGGTCCCTGGTGCTGTGAGGCAGTGCTAACCACTGAGGAAACGTGCCATTTGCAGGGATTATAGACTAAACACAGGCAAATGCAAAGCGTTATGTTTGGGATACCTGGTTGGCACGGACAGGTTGGACTGAAGGGTTTGTTTCCGTGCCTGCATTATTACTCAACATATTCAGACATGTTACAACACATACCTGAGGTGGGTGGGATGTGAATTAGGGCCTTTGGCCCAAGGGTAGAGACACTGCCAGTATCATTCAACTGAAGCATAGCCATTCTGCTTTTTGACAAATAAAGCAATCGACAAGCACATAGCAAGGTGCCTTGAAGAGCAGATGAGATAACTGACCAGTAATCTGGTTTGTGGGTAAATTTAGTAAAAGTATTTAGTGGAGCTTCAGAATTGGTACTGAGCTGTATCAATGCAAAACATTTGCTTAAAATACGTGAAGGATTAGGTCAAATAGGCAATGTGGCGCTACTATTTTATAACCCTCAAGAGGCCTAGAAATCTGGTTAAATATTTGCACTCATGTTGGAAATGGGAAACACCTTCCTCTTGCAAATTTTAGATCGTATTAAGTCCAGGAGTTGAAATGAATGTTCTCCACTATGTATCATACAGTTCTGGTAAATTTTATCCAGAGTACTGTGCTCTGGGAAAGGTAAGACTAGAAGCTGAATGTTTGTGCTTTTTATTGTAGTGAGGTAACAATAGTGGACAACTAATTGCTTACATGGAAGGTTTAGTCAGGTTCGTTTTTGATTTTTACTGGATGTCACTACTAGGAAACCAAAGAAGCTTTTGAAGCAGGCCAACAGCTAGGAATCCGGCAAGATCAGTCCATGGGCAGCGTGGTGGCTCAGTGGTTAACAATGCTACTCACAGTGCTAGGGACCCGGGTTCAATTCCAGCCTCAGGTAACTGTCTGTGTGGAGTTTGCACATTCTCCCCATGTCCGCGTGGGCTTTCTCCAGGTGCTCCGGTTTCCGCTCACATTCCAAAGATGTGCAGGTTAGGTGGATTGGCCAAGCTAACTTGCCCATAATGTCCAGGATAGGGGTGGGATGCTCTCTGGAGGGTCAGTGGAAACTTGATGGGCCAAATGGCCTGCTTCCATACTTTAGGGATTCTATGATCTGTGATCTACAAGTACTTGGGGTAAATACACTGGAGAAAAGGGAGCAAATACATCAGGTTATGGTGCGAAGAAAAGAGAAAAAGGCAAAAAGAGAGAAAACAAGGATTGAGATGCGAGAGTGAGAAGACAGTTTGAGTGAGGCATCAGAAATCTGTGACAAGGGATGGACGAAAACATAAGCATGAGTGCAAGGGAGAAAAAGAAACATTAGGAAACTGACATCAGGAAGGAGCACATAAGAATTTTAGGAGGAAGCATGGGATAAAACGATATCCAAAATATAAGGTTTACCCAGCAGAAACAGATTGAATCTTCCTTTTTCTCTTCTCGAGGGGCGGCTTAGAGATCACTTAAAAGGAGTACTTCAAAATTAGGAAATGATCTAATACAGCTGATACAGACAGAGTATTTCTACTTGCAGGGAAAAGCAAAACTAGGCCTTCAATACAAGATAGTGATCAATAAAGCAAACAGGAATTCAGAAGATAATTTTTTACCCTAATTGGTGAGAATGTGCAACTCGTTACAAAGGAATGGCTGCAGCAAATAGTACACATGCCTCGGTGTGGTTGGTCAAGCAAACAAGGAAGAAAAAATAGAGGTTAATGTAGAGAGATTTCGTTGAGGAAGTGTGGGAAGCAGATCAAGTGGAACACAAATGCCAGCAAGGATGCTTAGGTCAAATAGTCATTTTCTTGCTGTATTTCCTGTGTAATTGTATGTTATGTGGTATTCCATCAGTATTTCGTTGAACTATCAGTCTAATGATACTTAATCTCACAGAGTTTCACCTGTGATTGTCTGATTCATAGGCAGAAGTTATAGCATTGACCAATGCCTGATGCTTTCAAGGCACAGGGCAGACCTCTCCACCTCCATCCACAACACCATGGTGAATCCACAATGCTGAAACAAATAAACACACAAGCATTTTACGTTATCTTAAATTATTATGGAGCAAATAGATATGCAAACTGGAGCTATACTGGAAGCAGGACACACAATATTGGCCAATCATTTAAGAGCAGTTTGCTGCATATGTAACAAAAACAGTAATTCAGAGCTCAAGCTTTACACTTGCAAACTGCCAACAGATTGTATGTGAAGTAAGTCAGATAGAATTCAACATAGTAGTAGCACATGTTGAATTCAGTCCAACATTACACCAGTTGGCAGATACAGAAAGTACAGTACTGTAATCCTTATACAAAAGAAAGAATGGTCTCAGAGTTTTGCAGTTCAATGAAGTGAGCACATTGTGCTGGTCTTCTCTATACTTTATTGTTCCGAATAAGAGTGGCTAGTGAGAGAATAGACACCTTACAAAGATATTATAGACACCACCAGCTGTTTCTCAATTAGTTTGTTTTTTTTAAAAGGAAGGAAAACAAAGAAAGCGTACTTACAGCAGATGGCCCTGTTCTCAAAACAGCCAAACTACACCGGGCTAAGAGAGAAGACCTTATCCAGTACATTCAAATTTATGTATAAAACCCATTAAATACCTTACTTGCAAAGGCTCAGTTTACTAAATTAAAACTTTTAAAAGAAAGTAAAACTCTCAATTCTGTTTGGCCTGGAAATAGAAAGACAAGAATCCAACTTCTCAAACTGATGCAGTATAACTTAAATAAGGCTAAAATGCTCTCTCAGCTCATCAGGAAGTTTTGGGTCTATGTTCACTGATAATCCTAGAATAGAATGCTTGAGATATGTCAAGTGTACAGTCATGAGCCTTAAAGTCGCAAAACAGTTAGTATTTTTGCTATGCGAGTGTGGACTTTAATTACATGTGTATTTTCACACATAGTTAAATACTTTGAACAATTTTCTCTTTCAAATACATACTTCAACTTAATTTGGTATTTGTGCATCCAATTTTATTGATTTCTAATCTTCCAATTTATCCTTTACTCACAAGAAACCAGAGTGTCTGGCATTTCCTCTACATTTTAGAGCCAAAACCTGTGTTTTACTGGCGCAGTCTTAAAAATGGGAATACATAATATCATGTGAACATATTAAGTTTCCTATAAAATCAGATTACTTACATATTACTTATGTAAAAACACTGCCTACCTCATCAGTGCAGCCATAGTTTCATTTTAAAAATTAAGAATTTTTTTTTTGTTTTAATTTTTCACATTTGCACACATTTATTCTCAAGGATTATTAACAGCAATTTAATGGCAGCTTTTTGGAAGTACAAAACACAGTGCCATCCTGTGGAAGAGCACTGTACTTTTGCCCTATGTTGAAAAAGTAAAATATTTTTATTTTTCACTTTATCACGCTACTCTCATCTAGATTGACTTTTCACCAAAAGACAATATTATTGCAGTGCCCGAACTGGGAAGCAGATCTTCAAATGCACTATATTATGTCTCACTATGTGGTTGACTTTTTAACATCCTCATCAAGTTACTCACTTGTATAACAATTACCAGAAGGTTCAAGATGACAAGTAGCAATGGGAAATAAATGAGGCCTTGCCAGTGTAACCCACAAGAATATATTATTTTCGAAAGGGACTTTATGAGTGGGAAATGCTCCATCCTACTCATGTAAAAATGCTTCCCCTGAACTGATGTGGGCAACGAACATGCAAATTTCTACACTGCTAAAAGTATCCCACATTGATTATTCCAAATACATTCTCCATTTTTGGCTTTGGCATTTTCTCAAACTCATTCTTCATACCACAAATAAGTTCCAAGTCTGGACATCAATAATCACACAAAGCCTTTCCCAATTATCCATATTATGGATCCCAATTTATAAGCATCCCCACTTCATCGCTAACTGTTCTGCTTTGCACGATCACAAAACTTGTAGTTTCTTCTGTAGGTAGCATGGCAGCTCAGTGGTTAGCACTGCTGCCTCACAGCACCAGGGACCTGGGTTCGATTCCACCCTCGGGCGACTGTCTGTGTGGAGTCAGCACATTTCCCCCGTGTCTGCGTGGGTTTCCTCCCACAGTCCAAAGATGTGCAGGCTAGGTGGATTGGCCATGCTAAATTGCCCGTAGTGTTCAGGGATGTGTAGATTAGTTGGGTTATAGGGGGAGGGGTCTGGGTGGGATGTCTGAGGGTCAGTGTGGACTTGTTGGGCCGAAGGGCCTGCTTCCACACTGCAGGGATTCTATGATGATTCTGGTATTAGGCCCTGAAACCAGAGGAGCTGTACAAGATTCCTAGAAGCCACACAATAATAAAACAAAGTGAAAAGTGCCCATGTTACCATTGAACATGTTTTTAAGAATGCTAATTAAATCCTTGATGAGATACCCTGGCAGAAGACTTCATATGTGCTTCCTAATTCATAGGTGAATCATGGCTGAAGTGAATCAAATCCACTGGATGCATTACAGCATCTCATCCAATATACTCACTCAAGTACTCTATCACAGAAGAAAAGTGGAGCAAATCCTCTCCATTTTGCACCTTGATCATTATCACAGTCCACTGTGGAAGTACCATCACCAACAAGGACTGTAGCTATTCATGAAGGCTTAATACCATCCACCCAGGATAAGCAGGGATTGACAATAAATAAAGGCTTGCATGCATTGTGATTTGTGAGAACAAATGACCCATTCTCTCCCTTTCACACTATAATTTACACACATTTCTTATCTTTTTCTCTTTTTGTTTACGACCCCAATGTCATTTGCACTGGCCCTTTACATCACCTGTTTCCTTCATCTCACTTCTGTCAGAAGTGCATAAAAATAAAATCTCACTTCTGAAGAAGTCCTATCAGGCTTGAAATGTTAACCCACTTTCTCTCTCAACAGATGCTGCCAGAACTGCTGAGTTTTTCCAGCATTCTCTGTGCTGGTTTGAAAACAAAAATGAATGCTCCCTCCTATAAGAGAAAACAAGAACTGCAGATGCTGGAGTCAGAGTCAACACAGTGTGGAGCTGGAGGGACACAACAGGTCAGGCAGCAGAGGAGCAGGAAAGTCAACGTTTTGGGTTGGGACCCTTCTTCAGATCTGGGGAGAGGGAAGGGGACTGGGAAACAAATAGAGGGAGATGGGGTGGTGCTGAGAAAAGGTGCGTGGGGTGGTGATAGGTGAATGCAGGTAGGGGTTAGTGGGGATTGGTCAGTGGGGTTTTTCCAACAATTGATAATGGATTCATGGTCATCATTAGATTCTTAATTCCAGATTTGATGCACAAATTAACAACATTTATAATTCTACAAATTATTTTCTCCTCAGTGATCACTTTCTCTATCTTTTCAGCAAAATTTTGAACAATCCCTTGGTCTAGTCTACACAGAGGATAGAAGACATCAACAACCAGGGATCTGGGGTTCAAGTAAAATTCCCATCACCTCCTGCACATTTATTGCACCATACTTTGAAGTTATTGGCTTCAATTTCTGTTACACACAAATTGATACCAAAATTTTACACCACAGGGAGATTCCTTGCCTCATGTCTGGGTCTGCTGCAAACTAATTGATAGATATTGATTATCACAATGAGTCAACAATTCCATTATCATTGGATCATGCAATTACCAGGATGGTAGAAGACCACCTAGATGGATGTTGTTGTCTAGCAAATCTATATTATCCATAATGGCAGTGCAACAGAAGGTGGTAGCAAGAACTGCAGATGCTGGAGTCAGAGCCAATATAGTGTGGAGCTGGAGGTACACAGCTGGTCAGGCAACTCAACATTTCAGGTTTACACACTTCATCAGGACCTAATCCTGCTCCTCAGATGCTGCCTGACCTGCTGTTCCTCCAGCTCTGCATTGTATTGGTCAAGTACAACAGAAGGTACTTGGTTGCAACACTCAAGCTGGTGTGGTAATCCACTTTTAGAATTTAACCACACTGTATCTGCAATCTCATGGTTCCTTTACAGAACCTTGCTAATGTAGCCCATCTCTTGACTGTCTGACTGTTATCCCCTTGAGGGAATTTCATCATCTTCACAAGCAACATAGACCTTAATTCTAAATATGTTTGTACATTGTATGTTGAAAATGCATTCCATGGACACTAAACCTTGCAGAAAAACTCACCTTCCATGCACTCTGCTTTGGGTTCAGGAGCAATTCACACTGTCAAATAGCAAGTGGGTTTCTTAAAAGACAGTGAACATTAAGTGGGAAGAACAAGAGAGAGGCCCTGAGTTTGCTGTGCTCTGAATTAGTACTGTTAGTATTCCAATGGAAATTCCTTTTACAGAATTACTCCACAACATTCAGCTCCCAACTACAGTCAGATCAGTTTAAAAAAAAATCTACACAGTTCACTTATGGCAATTGCACATGGCCTAGATGAGACCATATGTGGAGAACTCTTATCGGAGGAAAAATGTTTAACTATAGAGGAAATGCAACAAATGTTTACCAGACTGGCTCCTGGGATGGCTAAATTGACATATTGAAAGAGATTGGATAGATTCAGACCATTTTCACTGGAGTTTAGAAGAATGAGATGGGTTCTCGTATAAACCTATAACAGAACTAGACAAAGTAAACACAGGAAGGATGTACCCAAAGACTGGTAAGGGTTCAGGATATGTTATTTAGAAGAGAGATACAAAGAAATGTCTTCACCCAGAAAGTCATGAGCCTGTGGAATTCTCTGCCACAGGAAGTGGTTTTCAAGGAGTTGGATATAGTTTTAGGGCTAAAGGTTAAGGAGAAAGTGAAACAGGGGAGAGAGTTGGATGATCAGCCATGATCATGTTGAATGGGAAAGCAGGTTTGAAGGACTGAACGACCTATTCCTATTTCCTATGTTTCTAGGTTTTGCCTAGAAGCAACTAGACTATTCCAACTCTCTAACAATTAAGTTGTTGCTTTGTGATCCACGGCAGCATCACAGAGACGTGTTTTCAGATTCAACAACTCATTCGGATAGTGTAGCACAGTAACATAAATGAATGACCCAATGTCAGATCCGCTGATTAATTCTGCGCTTCCTCCATACAAAAAATACGATGGCAACAGTAAGCATTTTCATTTGAATGCATGGCCTTGAGTGAAAAAAATTCAATATTAAAAAAGGTTTAAAATTAAAGTGCACAAGATTTAAATTAGCAATTTCAAATCATGCTTTATCAGCTTACCTGCAAACTTGCAAATAATCAATAACATTCAATTTGTTTTACACACAGTGCAGATGTGACTGGAGGAGCAGTGCAGTGGGGGCAGGGTTGAAAACAAGAGGATAAAAATCTGTAAAATTTTAGGTATGGAAACTCTCTGATACACAGGCTCATTAAAGACCTATAAGGGTAAAATAATCCCAGATAGTGCTAAGGGTTGTTATGAATTTCCTATTAAGTGAATACTCTTAATTAGTGAATAACATTTTTCTGGCAAACAGGTCATTAATTCACTACTGCACAAACCATGTACTCTATGCATTGCTGAGGTTTATATTGGCTCATACAGTCATCATTGAGACAGATTAATACTGAATAAGCTTCAATTCTGCTAGGAA